AAATGTTGCTTTGTCAAAGCAACAGGGAATGGTAGAAAAAGAAAATTGAATTCATGATCACTCATATAGGTAGTTCTCAACTTACAGTGGTAATTGAGACTGGAAATCTGGTTGTAAGCTGCTACTGTCGTAAATCAAAGCATCCACATGACTGGAAGTAATTTTGTGGCCTCTTTTAGGACTGTCATTAAGCGAACCCATTCATTTGAATGCTTGTTTTTTGCCAGAAACTGGCAAAAAATATCGTAAATCATGATCATATGACTGCAGAGTACCACCACTGATCATAAAGCTGACCCGTCCAAAATGCAATCAAATGACTGCTGGGGACAGCACAACCATTTACAACTCCTGGGAGTGCTTTATGGGCTGTAAAGTACCCGCTGGGAGTGCATTTTGAGCCATAAAGCACTCATTCGGTAGCTGCTATAACTTTTAACACTCATAAAATGACTGGTAGTAAATCAAGGACTACCTGTAATGGAATGAAACACAAATATGTACAAACAGATGGGCATCTCTCACTTTAGGGAACAGAAGCATTGTAACAGTCACAGTCATTACAGCATCTTTCATTAGAAAATGGAAATAAACCCTATTAGAAATTCTATTTTATGTCATATTCATTTTTTTTAAAAAATGAGACTTCAGTCATGATTTTCCATGTTTATAATAATTATAACTTGCAATATTCAGTAGTTAATGCTACAGGTTAGTTGTTATGTTTGCACATAGCTCTTCCCTAAACTACATGCCACTGTTTATTAGGACATATTAGACTAATATAGCAGGTTTAGAACAAACCAGAATAAAATGAGCCAAATAGCCAGGCAGACTCACTTAAATCCAAAAATTCTTTAGCATATGCATATCCAGAAGGCAATGGTGATTTCTCACTCAGGATCACAACATCATATAATACATCTCCAGTTGGATTCTAGAAAGAAGCAGATTCCAAAATAGTCATCAGCCACACTATCTGCACCTAGCTTCAGTTTCAACCTTCTTATCAAAGCATCCTTCTTACCAAAGCGTCTACAGATACAGTGAAGCAGAGGTAATATCCATATTTTTGTGCAAATCCTTTTCCGAAGTTAGCAGGTGCTCCTTCCACAGTTGTTGTGATCTAAGAAAAATGAGATGGAGGGGGGGAGAAAGAGACTTTTATCAAACAAGGCAAAAAAGCATGAGCAAGAATTCTCCCAATATTTCCTGGAGATTCATAAAACTAAACCTGAATCTTCATGCACACAAAGTATGTCATTTACCAATGACTTGTCTTATGCTGACAGGTCCCCAACTTCACATATAGAAGTATTCTGAACAAACAACTCTCTTCTGATGTTCAGAATATAGCAATAGGTATTTCAGTTTAGGTTTATCAAAAAATATTAATCTCATACAGATTTCCTCTGAAAATATTTTTAATGTTGGATGACATTGGAAAGGCTTGGTTCGCTTCGATAAAAAGTATGTGCACATACGAAGAGATGAAACAAATTCTGCAGTTAAATATTAGGATCTGTGTCATTGTTTAAAGCAGTGGTTCTCAACCTTTTTAATGCCGCGACCCCCAACCGGTCGTAAGTCGAGGACTACTCAACTGGTGCAGCACCGTTTGCAGAATGGGACTTTTGGCGGGCTCAACAGGGTAGAGACAGCCTGGACAATTCCTATTGGCTTTTGAAAGCCAATAGAATTAGACTCTATTCAAGAGAGTCTATTCTATTGGCTTTCAAAAGCCAATAGAATAAAAGGGAGTAGCACAGCCAAGGAAAAGGGGGGGAAAAATGGCGGACTGCATTGTTTTGCGACCCCCATGAAATGGTTGTTCGACCCCAAATGGGATCCCAACCCACAGGTTGAGAACCACTGGTTTAAAGAAATATCCAGAAATTCACCCACTGATCAGATCGCAAATGGATGCAAAATATGAAAAGAGAAAACTGGGCAGGGCAGGTAGCTAATAAAAAAAGTGGAACACACAGAGGACATTAGGTAGTAGTGAAGTAGAGAAGAACCAAAGTCAGAATTAAATACAACCAAACCAGTTTGGAGCTTATAGGGGTAGTGTATTCTCATTCCTATGGAAACTGATAACTAACAAAAAGAACAAATATGATTCCTCACCAATTTATCATCACCAATGCTATCAAATAATCACCCTCTGAGATCAGATCTCTCCTGCTTCTAGAATCTGTTCCTCACTGCCACTTTCAGCGACATTGCAAAGTCCTACCTATCTAGCTACCTTATCTGTCACAGCTAAGCCTGTTCAGTAGCAATTTTTCCCATTTACAAAGTTTCCTTTTCTAATAACAGGATGCTCAGAAGTAGACTTAACTAAAACTCCAACAGATACATTTTCATCAATAAATGGCTTTTACTGAACATAGAGAGAGAACAATTATTTGGGATAACATTGATTTATCCCACTCAAAACAATTTTCCTCCTTAATTTGCTTATTATTCAGACCTCTTTGGTGAAGGTCTTAACCTCTTAATTATCCCCTTTCATTTTTTTCTAAAATTAGTCCTTAATTTTCCAAATCCTTGATTTTGTTTTTACCACCATTCTTGCCCAGATTCTTCTCTCTGCCACTTCCCAACTTACCCCAACTCCCAAACATATTTGAAGGACCGCCTCTTCCTAGTGACATCTATCTGTCCCACTGAGTTTGGCTTGAGAGGAATTTTGCGAATCTTGTCAGCCAGGGAATTCCATCCCCATGGCGAGATAGGCAGCAAATAAATTTAACAAATAAATAAATAGTCTGACAGGACCTATGAGGAAAGCCTTTTTTGCCATGGCCCCCACCCTGTGGAACATCCTTTCTCGGGGGGGGGGGAAGTTGGCCCCAACTCTGTAGGCCTTCCAAAAGGCCCTCCAAATATGGTTTTGTTTAATGAACTTAGTGATCCTGTGGTACAGTGGGATCTGTCAGATGATTATATACTATGACTATTAACCGTATGCTTGAACAACTATCGGTGTACAAAAGAGCTGCCAAGGCCCCATGGACTTCAAATGGGATAGTGACTCCCAGCAGTAGTCATCATCATGAAATGATACTACTGGATGGGCAAATTCAACTTTAATAAGAGATATCTAATGTATCCCAAAGCCATACTATACAAGGATTTGTACGTGATTAACGGTATTTTGAGACTGAAAGCATACTAGTAGGTAGTGCAATGACTTCAAAAGAAGAATTCTCCTGCAATGGCTGGATTGATCCATCCACAATCCTGTCATCACATTCTAGACCAGTTGCAGCTTCCAGATTGCCTCCATAAATTGCCTCATACAGAGGGCATTACAGTAAATCTAATTGAATCTAATTACTAAATCCAATATTATCAGGCAGTTATTAGAGTATAGCAACTTATTCTCTGCAAGATTAGTCTGACATGTTGCATTCAAATCCTAGCAGCTTCCATGCAGGATTAAGAGTTTGTATAGCATCCCTGGCTCAGCCTTGAGACATGGCATACAGCTGAATGTTGGTGTACTGACATTTCATTCCTGTTAAAAAGATTTTGCCCAGCAGTCTATATAATTTTGGGGCAAGCACTAACCATGTGACACCCCATCCTGAAGGATCCAAGGGCTGCACTCTCTTTGAGGACTGGGGCAATCCTCTCAGGTAATACCCAGGTCTTGTGGATGGTCCAGAATGTTATCAAAAACCAGGGGAGTACTTAACAAACTGACTAAAGTATCCAAGGCTATTTCTGTCCCAGAAACTGGTCTGAATCTTGACTAACAGGAATACAGCCATTACAAATCACAGGTAGCTGGTTTACTATTTCACTTCATTGATCGGGAAGGGGGTTCACGCAAACAAATCTATCGTTTCAGGGGGTCAGCCTATCGCAGAAATAGGGTCAGCCTATCGCTGTAAAACTAATGTTCAACATATAACAAATGTTATTGGTTTAAAAATGGGTGAGTGGGCAGCCAGCATTGGCTCAGGGGCTTAGGATCACAACTGAGCACAAAGTTTCTGTTGTTAAGTGAGACATTTGTTAAGTGAGTTTTGCCCCGTTTTACAACTCTTCTTGCCACAGATATTAAGTGAATCACTGCAGTTAATAAGTTAATAACCTGGTTAAGTGAAGCTGGCTTCCCCATTGACTTTGCTCATCAGAAGGTTACAAAAGGCGATCCCATGACTTTGGGACCCAGCAACGGTCAGAAGTATGAGTCAGTTGCCAGGCATCTGAATTTTGATCACCCGATCATGGGCACGCTACCAAGATCGTAACTGTGAAAAACGGTCCTAAGTCACATTTTGCAGTGCCGTTGTAACTTTGAATGGCCACTAAACGAGCTGTTGTAAATCGAAGACTACCTGTACTAAGCAAGCAGTAACAAAAACCGTGTTTCTGGTATGTACGGAAATCTCCACTCAAGCTTCCGACTTCTTAAATAGCTCTTCCGCCTTCTATTTTTAAAGAGAGGCAGGCAGAACCGGGAAAACGAAAGCCTTCGGAGAAGAGCCAGCAACGTAAGTTGGTCGGTAGGAATGAGCTCTTCCTCTCTTCCTAGCCTCTCTGAAAGGAAAGAAAGACCGCGAGCTTCACCCTCCCGCTCCCGCCGTGAAGAGAGAGGTTTCTTCCCTCGGAGATGAGACTGCTTTTCTCACCGGAATCCAGCCAGCAACCGGCACATTGGATGAAGTCCAGCCCAGCCCGGTAAGCGGAGCGGTCATGCCAGCTCTGGGACGGTTCAACGGTTTTCAGACACAGGAAGCCGTTAAAATACGAGAAGAATAAAACCGTCACCGAACAGAAAGGTCGAACTTTACCGGAAGCGAACAGAACGAAACTCCTTGGAGCTTTTCGACCCGCCCCTTAGAACGGACGCGACGCTCCGCGTTTATAACGGAGCCTGCTCTGATTGGCGGGCCATTTCTGCAGGTACCGTCCAATTAAAAAGTTTGCGCTTGTTTGGTTTCTCTTCGTCACAAAAACCGGGATAACGTAGCGCGCACGCGCCTTGGGCGGTCTGTGTCCCTTTCCTCTCCCCCCCACCCCCGTTTAGTCTTTCTTTGAATTTAGGAAGGGCTCGTTAAAGCAGAAATTCGGGAGCTGAGATCTGTAACGTTACTGACCTATCGAGTGCTAGAGGGAGGCACCAGCATGTTCAAGTTTAGATATCTGATTTCCACTTCAAGTTTTACAGGCAAGTCCTAGATGATTATGGTGACTAGAAAGGAGAAAAGCCCCATGAAGATTACGCTCAGTCCGAATGAAGGATATCGTATGCACACAGAAAATTCACAGGAATTGGGGAGCTTTCAAACAGAGTATCGTAAACCATGGTAATATAGCAGCCTTCACTAGTGTTTATTGCATATTAAATGTGCAAAACATGGATAGATAAGTACTTACTCTCTTGAAATTCTGCTCCACCCCATCTCCCAGGAAATTCCTGTTCCAGGGTTGAAAGAGAATATACCATAGCATGGGATTCCAGAAAACTTTTAATCAAACGACTTGGAAATCAATACTGTCTTTTACCAATATTTGCCATGTGGAAATTGATTTTTCACATCTAAGAGTATAAAATTTATTTCTGAGTAGCATCAGAATATTGAAGATGGTGCACAAGACAAAAGCAACTAAAAAATACGGTAAGGTTATTACACACTTGTCTACTATTCACCAAATGTTTGTCCTAGCATGGAGAAAAATACACTCAAGCACAGAAAGAAAAGTTGCTATATCTGTCTGTTCTCTTGACCTTTTTTTTCACTAATATACATTGGTGGAGAGATCAGCTTCTTGCTCTTTTCAGTAACAATGTCCAAGCCAATATTTAAGCTGCTAACAGCTAGGGGCCTACCTAGACATTTCCAAAATCAATTTTAGAAAGTCAGATAAAGAAAGAGACAGTTTTGAAGAAATGTCTGTTAGCAAAATGAAACTGAAACTTTAATCCTATGGAGGTGGCAGTACAGATGATTTTGTCTGGATAAGTCTGAGAAGCTTCCGGGCTGGTGATTTCTCTAATCTCCGGAAAGTTCTTGATGCTGAAATAAAAAGAATATTGTATTAATGCCAGATACTAATGAATGTTGGAGAATAGCAAAATCATCATGTGTGGAAATCTAATAGGACACTAAAAGTCTTAAGATAAATCTGCTAAGCTTTATGGCCTTGTAATCATTTGAGAAATGAGAAGATGTTAAGAATGGTTGTTGGAAATATGACCTATTTGTTTTGGAGAAGGCAGCATTTTTTATTAATCAAAGAATTCAGCAATATTTACTATTATGGGAGAGATTTTCTGAAATTTTACAGTAATATGTACTGATTATATTATAGTAATGAATGTATTAGTAAACCTGTGACTATTGATAAGTATAAAATATAAGATAGATATTTTTCTCCTTTTTTCTTAGTTTGTATTCTTTTTAGGCATTGTTTATTTTTTGTTTTGGTTTCGCTTTTTAAGTTTAAAGATCGTTTTAATTATTAAGAATGTTAAATAATAAAAATATTTAATAAAGCCTTCACACTTGTAGAAAGATAAATGGCATTTTTGTAACCTGTTAATTATGAATTCAGACATAATAAACTATAATTAAAACTACAAGCAAGTTTCATATTGTGATTTTGTTTTCTGAGATGTATTTAGGCAGAAAAGTAATCAACACATTGTGTTGGTGTCACATGAATTGCTAAACAATCTCTATAAATCAAGACACATATCTTCCCAACAAAACTCCTCGTGATGTATCTGATATAAAATCAGCCCGAAATATTAACCAGGGCTTTTTTTCTCATAGAACGCCCAGAACGGAGTTCCAGCACCTTTTTTGGATGGAACCTTGTAAGGTAGGCAAGGCAGGTTGTATATGTGAGTTCCGGCACCTTTTTTTTTTTTCCCCACAAAAAAAAGCACTGTATTTAACCTTTGTGGTACAATTTGATTTCTATTCCAATGCATGTATCCAAATGCACTGAGGTTGTGTTTTATAACTAAATCTGTTAATGTAACATACCTTTCCAAGATTATATTTTTATAATCCAAATCTGTTAATGTAACATATCTTTGCAATGTGCAATGCAGCAGAGTTTCTCTTAATGGAGAGTAAAATCAGTATGACTTCTGAATTCCATTAATATCAGCAATACTGATATTTACAGGTTGGATCCAGAGTAATCTTGCCACAAACAAAAAAAGCTAATTCTGTTTACAGAAAACAGAAATAAAATGTAGGAAAAGGAGATTTTCCTAATACCCAAACCACTATGACAAAGCCTTATACCATGGATGTCAACCTCGATCGCATCACGTGATGTATCATGATCTATTGCAACGTTTTTTGCCTTTGCCGAGCTGGGGTGGGCGTGGCCTGCGTGTGACGCATCCAGTCCACAGACCGCCAGTTTGACACCCCTGCATTATACAGTACTGCTGTGTTATATAGTACTGCTCTGTAAAGTTCCCCAATTACCCAAAACAACTTTTCAGGGTAAAACAGTAAGTGTTCATGTGTTGCCAGTTTCTGTTCTGGCAATATCTGGGAAATGAGTATCCTATAAATCAGACATGCCAAACACAAGGCCCGGGGGCCGGATGCAGCCTGCAAAGTGGTTTCATGTGGCCCGCGAAGCCATCCTGGAAACAGTGAGGGAACGGCCCCCGCTGCCTTGGCCCTGGCCAGCCGGGAGGGAGCCAATGTACAATTTTGTGGTGGCTATCTATGCTGAAACACAGTCAGTCTTAGCACCATAAGGCCATCTGGAAACAGTGAGGAACCAGCCCCTGCCGCATCGGCCCCGCCCCCTGGGTGCATGCTGGGGAGGTGTCAGCCTTTGTGAGGAATGAAGAAATGCACCATTGCCTGGAAGTGGCCAGCAAATGGCCCTCACCTACTTCACATATCTGGCTTGATGGGCTCTGGGGGAGGGGTTTTGGCAGGTAAGTGCAGCTGGGTGTCCCCTTGGGGAAGTGAGGCTGGGCTTGGTGCTGCGGGTGCTCGAGGGTGACTTCTGCTGTCCAGGTCTCCCAGCAGCCTGCACTACCATCCAGCCCTCCCCCCGCATGGCCTGAGAGGACCAGTGAGGCTCCTCCAGTGGGCCATGCCTTGGCACTTGCCCTGGTCCCACCCCCTTCTGCCAGAGACCCTCCGATCTGTCCAACTCCTGCCCAGGCCCCCACAGGCACCCTTGACGCGAACGATGTAGAGCTGGCTATGCCCACACAGGAGGCCACACCCACTCCATCCATGCCCACCCACAGGAGGCCGTACCCACCCTGGCCACACCCATTCGGCCCTCTGAGGGCAACCGCAATGCTGATGCGGCCCTCAATGAAATTGAGTTTGACAGCCCTGCTATAAATCATGACAAAAAAACCAATATTAATAAAGTTAATACAATTACATCCTATGAGTTTAATATTTTCCTTACTATTACAATAAAAAATAGAATTTAACTTCCAATGGGGAGTTGTGTAACATTTAAAAATCTAAAACCTTAAAACAATAGAGCTGAAAATCAGATTGAACAGAAACTCACTCTCAACGTTTGGATTACCCGAAATTAAGACTTCAGGTAGACAGAATGTGTATACTACATACATACAACAAATTAACCCCTTTTATAACTTTTATATGCATGAAGCTATTACTTTTTGTTTTGTGTATTGGGTAATATGTACTAGGCAGAGTCACTGGGAATCATGCAGTGTAGAAATTTAATAAATATACTTAATGCAAAATAAACCTTTGATATGAGGAAAACAGAACACTAGGAATTTGTTTCAGTTATACAAATATAGTAGCCACTCTATGACTTACCAAGTTGTGCTGATAGCTTCTGGAGATATAATGTAGTATCTTCCACATAGGTCTGACAAACTTTCACCATCTGACTGATTTCATCAAACTGAAAAGCATCATTTAAAAGGTGACAATCCAGCAGAGATGATTTGTTCTGACCCTTTAAATCAGAGGTCCCCAACCTTTTGGGCACCAGGGACCGGTTCTGTGGAGAGAGTTTTTTCCGCGGACCAGAGAGTACATGGTTTTGTGTACTGCCTCTATCTCATGGACGGGGCTTTGCTTGTTTGTGCAGCCCAGTACCGGTCCATGGACCGGGGGTTGGGGACCCCTGTTTTAAATGACCAGTTCTCTCTCTTATTCTAAACTAAATATTACTGGGATGTATGATTCAGCATTCCAGATTCAATCAAACAATGGGAAATGTTTAAGCAGCTCTCTCCTTCTTAGGCAATAGGCCTATTCTTGGTAGCCTCTTTCCAGAATTTCATTCTAAGCTCTGCAAGATCTGATTCAAAGATTTGCCCATTTTGTCTTGGCAGCTCATTATTTATAGTCATCTCACTCCTTCATGCATTCAGAATAGAATAGAAACAGGATAAATTATTCTCTTATTGTGTGCCATTCTTTATACCGAGGTTACCAATGGCTATTGCTTTCCCATCCCTTTTTCCCAAACTAGCATTAATGGAAATATAAAATATGAAATAGGATTTATTCTCAGTTTTACATAGCCAACACCGAAAGGTCATATAATAAGCAAATATAATAAACGAACTATTCATGTACATCTATTTACTTGCTTTGGGATTTTTATTCCTTAGAAAGATGATGTTGGATTTACCTTATAATTGGAGCTTCCCAAGTTTATTATTTGGCCGTGCACTGCCTCTCCTAGTCAATCCTGATATAATTTCTAATTCTAGTACATTATTTGCTTTGCAATTCTTTCACATTGAGAAATTCCTAATCATTATATAAATCTCCGAGCCATGCTATTACGTAGATGGCTTTACCTACATCCTCACTCTGTTTCTCATGCCCAGGAAAAATATTGCCTCCTTCCCTGAAAAGTGTACTACTGTTCAATTGCCTTTTTGCCTGAATAACCCAATGTTTGATTATCATTTTACCTCTGTTATAAGATTTTCAGTTTCTAAGCTTTTCAGAAGCATGTAGAATGCCAAGCTATCCACATGGATACTTTCTGGGCATAATTTGATCCATCAGTTTCTTTGGCAGAATCTATTGCTGGGAATCCTGGTTGCCTAGATCAGGGCTTTTCAACCATTTCACCCAATGTACCACTTTTAGGATATGGCAGTATCCGAGTATCACCAGTCGCCTAGCAAGGTGTCAAAAACTTGATGACTAAAAAAAAAAAAAGTGATAAAGTACAGGTAGTCCTCGACTTACAACAGTTCGCTTAGTGACTGTTCAAAGTTACAATGGCCCTGAAAAAAGTGCCCCCCAAACCACAGCCGAGCAAGACACCTGCCTGCCCACCCGGCGGCGCTTTTTCTCCTGTCCGAGGTTTTCATTGTTGTGAGCATTTCTGTTGGCAGCGGGGGTGGGGTGGGGGTTCGTTTTTATCTCCCCCCCTTCTGCTGGGTGGTTGCAGCAGATTTTGGCCAATTCACATGACCCTGGGACACTGTGACCGTCATAAATATTAATCAGTTGCCAAGCATCTGAATGTAAATCAGAAGACCCTGGAGATGCTGCAACATTCCAGCTGATGGGCGCTTCTTGTGGGCTCAGAGGTGCCAAGATCAGTGCTGCTTTCCAGCTGATCGGCGCTTCTTCAGGGCTCAGCAGAAGCACCAGGATCAGTGCTGAGCTCCAGCTGGAGTCTGGCACTGATCCTGGTGCTTCCGCTGAGCCCTGACAGCCCTGCAGCTCCAGCCATCTCTCGCTCATGCTGCCACTGGTTCAGCTCATTCCTCTCCCCCACTACCACTTTTCTAGGATGGTCACGTACCATCTGCCAGGTGCCAATATACCACAGATGTTACCCTTAGCACTGGTTGAAAAGCCCTGGCCTAGATTATCAAGTTCTCCAACTTGGCATTATCACAGGCCTACTGTTTGGGGGAGATGGAGAAGAGCAAAAACATATATGTAGTACAAATGCTGCTTATGAACTGCTTTAAATTCTCAAGAGGAAAGAACTGCATACTTTCGGCACAAGGCTCTTTCTTTCCGTCGCTTAATTGTTGGACCGTGGTTTTAACATTCTTTACTGTCTTTTTTAAAATTAGTGCTACTTAATAACATTAATTTTAAAAAGGCAGTAAGGAATGTCAAAACAATGGTACAATAATTAATGTCATCACTCACCACTCCCTCTAGGCAATAAAAGACTTCTGCTTGGCAATCTAGTATTTTCTGATAGTCTGGCTTGGCTTGAAGTACATGGGCTTGGGATGTCCCAAGGTAGCTGCAAGATTCCTCTGGTGCTTGTTTCAGCTCGCATGATTCTAGCTGCCTGAAAAGATAAAAAAGCAGATCACAATAATAAGTACTTAATGGCCAATAAATTAACTATTACATGGTATGTGGTTGATTATAGCCCAACCCTCATTCATTCTTCTGGGTTCCCATTCCTCCACCTTTTTTCTCAGCTAGATGCCAACCATCAGTTCCCCAAAATACTGGGCAACAATCTTTCACCTTTTGGGAGATGAGAAGGGGAATCCTACTCTACAGGATAAAAAAACCAAATATTTTTATTGGTACAGTATTATTATCATATTTGTTGTATGTTAGCAAACCTGATGTAGCTCTTAGAGACATCAGTCCTCTATGAATAGTTATAATAGGATTAATAAAATAAGGAAAAATTCTGAGCAAGCATTAACTGGATTATATATCTATCTTGACCTCTTAGTTAAAACTCTTTCCTGACCCTCAAAATTGGATCTGCCATCCTTATTTTCAACAGGCCCCAACCGCCTGTCTTCCCCTTCTGGAAGTTTCCAGCTTCCCTTCCTGGTGAGATGAAAATTAACTATTTTTTAATCAATAAGGGCAATATCAACTATTTTTTCCCATTTCAGTTCAACCACTCTGAAAAATTCAATAGTATCAACAGATTTGGTCAGTTCATTTTACCGCTCCCTCATCATGTTGCTAAATCTAGATCAGTGATTCTCAACCTTTCTAATGCCGTGACCCCATAATACAGTTCCCCATGTTGTGGTGACCCCCAAGTGGGTGTGGCCACCAATAAGAGGGAGTAGGACAGCTAGGGAAAAGGGAAAAAAATGGCGGACAGCATGGTTTGGTGACCCCTGTGAAATGGTCATTTGACCCCAAATGGGGTCCCGACCCACAGGTTGAGAACCACTGATCTAGATTATCTGGAAATATTGAAAACACCAGTTTCAGTATTTGAGGCTTACTTAGTAATGGCAATCAAAATGTGCGGGCTCTGTCCATACTCACTTTTTTCTGTTTTTGTCCATTACATTTCATTATATAAAATTTATAGCCTTTGGTTTTGTAACCCTGCTTTCAGAATAATCTAAGGATAAAGAAAGACAGACAATATTCTAACCTGGATATTTCTTTCAATTTTTTCTGGTAGGACTGAAGTAGCTCATCCCAAGCTTGATTCTCTGCTGAAAACCTGTTAAAAATACAGATTATAATTAGCTTCAACAACAGAGGCATTAGTGCTGCCATTTGCTGTCATTAACTTGAAGTAGCCTTAAAAGAAAGGCCACTTGAGAATTGTATATGGCACTACGTGATCCATCAATACTCTACCCTTTGTCTTCCATATTCTCACGGGATGTTCATAAATCACTTCCATTCAGCTAAAGCTATTAAAATTAACTTAATTTTCATGTGAGGGAAATAGATAGAGGTAATCCATAGTTTTAAACAAGTTTAGGAGTCAGATTTATGCAAGTACTTGGGTGACACATTATGCAATGCTCATGAGGTTTGGAGAATTATTATCTACTTTAATACAGAAAGTGTATCTAAAGATCTTATAACAATCTTGCATGTAACACATAACTACTCTGAGATACTGGAGGGGTTATAATAATCAAAATGGAATTTTCTTCCATCTTTAAAAGTTCAGTCAGTTTTATAGTTTCTTAATGAACATGGTTCAGAGATGAATGATAAACAGCTTATAAACTGAATAAGGTCTTCTTGCTTCCAGTGTCATTCTGTTTTGATAGAGAGATAACAGGCTTTAACCAATGGGGATTTTTTAAAGTAAAATGTTAATAAATTAATAAATAAATACTAACAGGAAAGTATTCTTTAAAGCTTCTTTCCCTTGCAGGAACCGAAAATAACATCAAGGCATTAAAAGACTCAAGGAATGATTGAATAGGCTAAATGTATAAATAGAGAATGCTTATAAAGCACAAAGATCCTTAAAAGCTTTTATTAGTCCATACTAGACAAGTACTGCAATTACATCATAAAGCATATCATATCAGATTTAGAAAAAAAAACATTACAGAAAACAATGGGCTAATATCCCTCGGTACTTCACAAAAAGAAAAAAGAAAACAAAGAGCTAATAAACAATGGGATTCCAGAGAAAAAAGCACAGCAAGGAAATTGCTGTGAAATTTTGGTTCCAATTACTCAAGTACATTTTGTTCATTAAAAGCCTGAATAACCTGAATAACTTTCATGATTAACTGGATCCAAAACCTAACATCCTCTTAGTCATCTGCTTTCTATAGATATGTAGAGGATTCTTTCTCTTTTCTGTTGGAGTTAGAATACTATATTTCCTCTAGAGTATTAGAATGCATTGTATTCTGGACAGCCCTTGGATACAGCTCAGAAACTTTAGTTACTTCAGCCTACTGAGGCAATAGAAGTTCTTCATGGTCTTTACTGGCTTCCAGTTTACTTCAAATCCCAATACAAGAAGGTTGCTTTTATTACAAAACTATTTACAGTTTAAAATCTGGAAAAAAAAACCCCATCTCTTCCCATTATATCCTACTCATAATGCCACATTTGGAAGGCCTGTTCAGGATATCCTTCAACCCAGAGGCATCTTTATCATCTCTTTTGGCACAAGTAAATACTGTTATTCTCCCAGAAGTTACATTTTAATCCTACTATGATTATTAATTCTTTTATTACTGCTTGTATTCTCTATTAATATTTTAATGCTTATTTTGCAGATTTTGTTTTGTATTGTATTTTTGTAAAACATATGTTTCTATTAATTGCTTCAACCTACAGTTTTAACTGATAATAGAATTTTTAACTGTAAATTGGGGGTTCCTTTTCATGGGAAGCAGTTTACAAATGTTTTAAATAAATACACATTTTTATTCTCTCTTATCTGGATAGAATATTACTGATATCTTAGAAGAGGAAGAGGCCATGGTTGTTTGCACTAATTCCTGGAGTATACTGTACACTGTCACTTCACTTACAGGCTTTAATCACGCGTCAACATGTTATGCTAATGAGAACAAATAATACTGAAGGTTCATTCTCATTTGCATGGTGATTAGTTCAGATATAATCCTGAATTATGTTTAACCATGACAGAGAAGGAAGAATTTGAATCAGATGGGAAAGAATGTTTTAGCCTATAATCAGGGCTAGCTCTCATACAGCACTACTTTAACCAAGCTTCCATTTAGAACAAACTAAGTAGTACTTAATGACAAATTGAAAACACTTCCATTTTAGATAGAAGATAAATCAACACTTTACCACTTTACTGTCCAGGCAAGGGCAATCTTTTCCTAGCTAGGAATAATAATTTGTTCTTTGACCTCCAAGGGTTACAAAAGTATGGTGAAGCAGAGATATACAGTAATTGGAGGACACAGAATCTCCTTTTTATGGCCACTTTCTGTCGTAAAATATTACTACACTAAAAAGAAAAACCTTTCCCTAGATACTTCCATCAAATTTATTCTCCATTGGAAATCACCAAGCTGAGTTGATCGCTGTAGTGCCCATATTATTATAGTGCATTTGGGTTTTGAGTCTATCTTACCTCGCAATGGTGTCCTTTAAGGCAGTCACCAATTCATTGAATGCAGGATCTGACAAACCACTAAAATAGATAGAAGATGCAGAGAGTTAAGACACTATTAAGCTATAGGAAACCACAGATTGGTTTCTAATTTATTCTGCTGTTATTTCTATGTTAATATGCAATTCTTATGCAATCAGCATACAACAAAGAGAATATCTGTAGCTTGGGGTGAACTATTGGGTTATTGTAACTCTCTTTGTCATCTAGAAAGTAGATTTAAAGGTTCAGTGTTTGTGTGAGAATGCTCCTGTTTCTAGACATACATCACAATCTTAGCTAAGAATCCGGAGTACTGAATTCATGGGTCTTCTTATGATTTCTTAGTATATTTGTCCATTGAACTGAAAGGCAAAGGATGATGAATGTCATGATTCTGGGTTAATAGTATATTCTGTTACATTGTATATGTGTTTATGTAGTGATGCTGCAATGATTTTTTGGGTACTTCTGGATCTACTAACATGAAGAATCCTATGACATCGAGTGAAGTCATAATTTTATCCTTTTCTGTTTTTAGGTCCTTGATATTCTGGAAGCTCTGTAGTGGTGAATTAATAAGAGTATTTCCTCCCATCTCCAAAAAGGTTTCTGATGAGCTCTTTGGATGCATTGTAGATTGAGGTTTCTGATAGTGATAGAGGTGGTATGTGGGGCTTGTATTTTGAGATGTCCATAGAAGTATAGGAGGGCAGATCTACCACTTTACATCTGCAACTCTTATTTCATGATTTGTTCTTTTTTGCTTAGAAAGTTGAGGATTTTCTTGATTTGGTTGCCCAGGTTCCATATTAAGTTGTTATTTATGGGATTGTAGGATTCTTTATCCTCTGTAGTTCTTTGGCTTTCCATACATATTATGTTCCATTCATAACAGTGGTTTGGCTTTGTCACCTGGGAGAATAGTGATTTTTTTCCTGAGGCAGCAGTACCACTGAAGAGTTGCTTTAGATAATGAGATGGGCAGTATCTAAATTTAATAAATAAATGCCCAATGTACATACCATTTACAATATAGTCAAAAGCCTAGGAAGGAAACAAATAGCCTAGAATACACCCATTCCCACAATTAACTCCCAGATAAGCAGGAAATATCACCACATGAACAATCAGGGAAGAAACAATAACCCAGTCAAGAAACCACCACATCTGATAGGGCATATTGTTAGATACAGTCAGCAAACTCCAGTCTCCCTTGCACTGTTGTTACATAGTCATTAAACTTCTGCAGGAAAATAACCAAGTTCAGAGATCACCAAGAATTCAAGAAATATGGCACAATATATGCTGACTCTTAATAACTATGTGTCAGGTACATGACTATAAGAACATGTTTTAGTTGTAACACATAAAAAAAGACTAATCATTTTACCATTTGGGGTCCTCAAAACATTTCTGCAAAGTTCCATCTAGCATCAGTTTCTTTGTGTGGAGCCTTAGCTCTTCTGAAAGTGAGCTCACTAGAAAAGATAATGAAAAACCAGAGTGAATAGGATGAAATGCTGTATGAGAAATCATCAAGTGGAAAAAAATGAACTTTCTGTTTTCCACTAAGGTTGAAGGATAATTTTTTCTGAATTTCTATTTGTCTACCACCATTGATTTTCCCTTGTAATACATACAGAAGAAGGAAATATTGGCTGTATTCTTAAATAAAATTTCAATCTACATAATGGGATACTAAAGGGAGTGTATAACATAGAAGAATCAGTGTTAGCAAGTACATGTCAGGCGTGATCAGGACGACATATGAAGTTCCAATTAAATTGATTTATTGTTAATCATGCCTATGTACAGGAATCTACTCAACTAATTGTCAGCATTAACTTGATGTTGTATAAGGGTCAACAGAATTCAGGAGAGTTTGGACTTAGTCCATTTGTAGCCATGTAGAGACTCTAGACGGATTCCTCTTTTGACTCATCACAACACATTTAAGAATGAAATATTTCAGATTTCCTTCAAAATTATCTATCTGAAATAATTCTGACCTCTTTTTACATTGCTAAGATCTAGCTTAAAAGAATACTTATTTTAAGCTCAAACACACTTGACCAAATTGATTCCCAGGTGTTCTTCAGATGAGATACAACCCTTTCTCTCTTGAAGTAAATAAAGCATAAAACTTACCATTCTGCTGAAAGGTTTCAAAATTAAAGCCTTCCATGTGCCCTAAAGACTGCTCAAGCTTTTGGGCAGAGTACTAACAGGAAAGAAAAGATTTAAATTTGAATGTTATTTAATCTTTAAATGTTCACAGAATTCATACTAAAATTTAACTTTTCACTAATGCGATTAGAAATAAGAGATTTTTTAACCATATACTATATGTACTGCAATCAAAACCCCATTATGGCTCCAGTAACCAGAAGTGCACTTATTGTATAAATCAGGGGTCTTCAGACCTGGCCTTTTTATGACTTGTGGACGTCAACTCCGAGAATTTTTCAGCCAGAGTGCCTGGCTGAGGAATTCTGGGAGTTGACATCCACAAGTCATAAAAGGGCCAAGTTTGAAGACCCCTGGTATAAATCAACTAGTTCTCAACTAACCAGATCAATAAAATTAGCACTTTCTACAATAACAACTTCATTGCTGATCAGGACTGATTCTGATAAGAGTCATTAGTTTAGATAATGGCTTGTGCATTCTTACAATATGTAACCTGAAAGTCTCCCCCTTGCTGCATTGAGCATGCTACCATCACTATTGTATCCACACTCAACAAAGAAAAACCTTGTGTAGTCACCACTTTTCCACAGTGGCAACCCCATTAAGTTTTAACTTGAACTTTACCTGGAAACTAGAAAGAAGGAGTGCTGCCATTCTCTCAGCCTCTGGCAAATCCAGGCTGATTCCCTTACTCAATCCTGAAAGTTCAGCAAAATGTCATTTAAAGTACAGTGTCATTTAAAGTACACATTTTAAAAAAAATTTCAGAATTGGGTGGTATGTTAGTTGGTTTTTTTGTGTTTTAGTAATTGCCATTTGGGATATTATTTCAGTTTGGGAAATAACATGTTTTTCAAATTATATTATTATAAATATTTTAGTGATTGCACATTAATGCCTAATATTTTTAGACAATTACATTTTCACAACCATATAAGCATACCTTGAAGCAAGCCTTACTAAACACAGTGGTACATTTCTGAACAGATAAGCACTATTACAAGAACAGAGCCTTCCTCTAACTTGGTGCTGGATGAGGTTGATGTTCACCATCTTTAGAGAAAACCAGGTTGGAAAATAAATTAAATAGATAAATTAAACTACAGCACTTTATGCCCCAAAATTTTTCACAACTTCATTAGTAGTAACTTCATTACTACTTCACTTACTTGGAGTTTGTAAAGAGCATTTTTTTTAAAATCATAGTGCAATCATTTAGGGGCAGGTGAACACTGTTTTAGACTGGAAACAGACAATCAGTGGCCTGTAATATAGCACCAGAATATCTCTTCTGTAACACCTAGAGCCACTCAAAATGGGCAAAACTAAGATTTTTGAAAATGTTTAGTGTCTTGCTGCATAGTCCTTAGACTAAGACAGTGGTTCTCAACCTTTTTAATGCCGCGATCCCAACCGGTCATAAGTCGAGGACTAAACCGGTCGTAAGTCGAGGACTAAACCGGTCGTAAGTCGAGGACTACCCAACCGGTCGTAAGTCGAGGACTTTCCCTGCCCGGGAGCGCCGCACATGCGTGGTGCAGCCCCCTGCGCCAGCCGAGGCATAGCTGGCAAACGGCAGAGACAGAGCAGGCCGACCACCGGCTGGGCCACCAACTGGCCCAGCCTAAGGGAGGTAAGGCACCCGCCGGAAAAGGGGAAAAAAATGGCAGACAGCCTTGCTTGGCGACCCCCATGAAATGGTCGATCAACCCCAAATGGGATCGCGACCCATAAGTTAAGAACCGCTGGATTAAGACATCCATTCTGCTAAAAAAGCCCAAATATTCAATACACAAAATAGTGGACTAAAGCTTTCAGTTCTTCCAATCTAATATTGAGGATTGTTGCCCTGGGGAAGGCAGAAAGTCCATTTTAAAAAATGTTAAACCCAGTATTATACAGCAACCAGTTGGATAGTTCAGCTGGAAGCAAATTTTAGGATGCCATCTGTTCACATAACTTCTTCCAGAACTCAACTCATGTTGTCTTCTTCCTAGCAAGTTCATCCTTAATCGTTGTTTGCGTCAAGGAAACATACCCAAAATATCCACATGAAGAGGTGGCAGTGACTTCCGGCGATTAACACTTAGTTTCAGACTATAGCGACTCATGGAGCGACGTGCAACTTTTGGGCTAGGTAGATGTCCAAAGGATACATTACATGAAGTTGAAGCACGTTGCGTTTCAGGATCAATGCCCTTTGAGGATGCTTTTTCAAGGCCATGGGAATACTCATTCTTCAGACTATATTCTGGATTGCATTTTTGTTTGCTAGTCTCGGCCAACACCGCTGAATGGCTGACTGTCGTTTCAAATGGGATCGCACTGCTGTAACTAGCAATATTATCTGGTTTGATAAAGCATTCAGCAGTCACCCTCTCTTGGTTATACGCATTTTCTACAAAGAAGGAAAGTAGACAAAACATACTTCATGCCAAAACTGAAAAATATTTCAAAGCAAAATGGAAAGAAATTCAGTACACAGCTGAATTTTTGAACCATATGAATTTAAAATGCATGCAAACAGGTTGTAAGCAAAGGGAAGAAGAATCTGACACAGGAATGCTCTGCCAGTACAATTTATTTTACATTAGAATATTTTGGATCCCCTTTTCACCTAAGGATTATTTAAAGCAATGTATAACAGAAATAAGAAATACAGTATATAAGCTACCCAAAAAATGAACAAAGGGGTAGGAAAAGAAGAGCTATATAGGTTCCTTAGCCTGGTGTTTTAGAAAGCCTACTAATGCTAACTAAGAATTATGAGAACCTACCCAAAATAGGGTAGGTTCATAGATTAGTTTCTAAACCAGCCCATCTCAACCAGCCCACCAGTTACTATTAGCATTTTTACACAAATTCTAAAGAAATGATAAGGCTAATTGATCCACAAACCAATTTATGGTTTTCCTCTACATTTCTTTTCTGTTTAGTAATAGAGATACAGGTAGTCCTCAACTTGCAACCATTCACTTACTGATCAAAGTTACAATGGCACTGAAGAAAGTGACTTACAAACAGTCCTCACACTTACAACTGATGCAGCATCCCTATGGTCACATGATCAAAATTCAAGAGCTTGGTACCTGGCATGTATTGCAGTTACAGTGTGCCAGGGTCACGTGATTGCCATTTGCAACCTTCCCAGCCAGCTTCTGACAAGCAAAGTCAATGAGGAAAGCCAGATTTGTTTAATGACTGCATGATTCATTTAACAACTGCACTGATTTGCCAGTCATAAAACTGGCCATGACTCACTTAACAACCACCTTGTTAACAGAGATTCTGGTCTCAACTGTCACAAGTAGAGGAGTACCTATATACTTCTGCACTGAATTTCAATATAGACCACCACGGCAACTTTCACAAGATAATACAGTACTAAGAGAAGTCAGTCAAAATTACGAATGGGCCACACATTCTGCTAAGCTGTGGTTTACTTTATATCTGGGGTATCACCCTTGACAACTTTAAGGCTTGTGGACTTGTGCTGGCTGAGGAATTCTGGGAATTGGAAATTCACAAGTCTTAAAGTTGTCAAGGTTGGAGAGCCCTGCTTTATATGGCTTGTTGTGGTGGGTTCACACATTGTAGCAAGCTGTAGTTTACAATGACACATAGTTTGATGAAGCAGTAATGGAAGACCAACAAAAAATATTTGTGTTAATTCTTTTACCCAATGTCTCAGCCTTTTTTCCGCATACAGAAGCAGACTGCATGTCTTCAGAACTGGTCTGAAACAAAAACAAATGTGTATTTCTCACAAAACATTATAGATAACATTAGATTCTTTTTTCCCCAACCAGCATTACATTAGAAAATAACAATTATCTTGGCATTTCTGCTGTGATAGAAAAGCAAGATTATTTTATTTTATTTCTCCAAGAACATTCTCCTTATTCAAAGGATTCGGCATGCTTGAAGATTCATGGTTTTGTGCCCAACTTTACACAATATAACTGTTTACCAAATTAGTCTGATTCCATAAAATATTTATATGGAGAAGATCTACAATGTACAGTAAAATTTTCACATGATTTACTGCTTTGGATTGATTAAAGACATACAAATGGGAAACAAATATAAAAATAAGCAAAAATTTCTATGCTTAATAAGAAATGCATAACATATTCCATCCAGAGCTGTTTAAAGAGCTCTGTAACTTCATTTAACCTGATATTTCTTTTTCCCTCTAGGCAATAACCAACCCCACATAAATAAATTGAATGCATAGTCGGACCTATCAGATGCTATCAGGACCTATCGGCCTAATTTTTGCATTTCAACTCCTGCATTGTAAAGAACAAGGGATTTTCTTTGTTAAATATGTAGATTTTGTTCTGTTTTTTAGATGACTGACACATTTTGGCCTTCCACCACATATTGAATTATTGATTACTACCGATATTATAGAATTGCAGGAAAATATATGGATTAATCTGAATACTAAAAGAATCAACCAGAGTATTAAAAGTGCCACATTTTAAAGCTTTTAGGTAGTTTCATTTACCTGTTGAGCCAAAGCCTTTGGAAGAATACCTTCTGTGCTGAAAAGTTTTAACAACAAAGAATTATCATTGAGCCTAGTTTCCTATCATTTAAAAAAATAATTAAATAACTACAGTCAAACATTGCTTTTAGGAATTTTACAGATGTTGGTTCACTATCCAATCATTATGTGTCCAGTTATCATCATTTTCTCCAGCAATTGCAATGCAGCATATGGAACTAAACTCAGATAACCCAAATTCAAAGTGAGGCTATTGATTTGCATAGAGAGAAAATGTCAGCAAGTACAGCCTGTTCAAGCTAAAGAAAGTTTTGTTTGTATTTACCACTGGGCCTTAAACAACCACCGAACCAACAAATATTAAATACAAGGTAGGAATGGCCAAAAACCTTTGATCCACTGAATATTTGACTATAAGGAGGTCAAAAGGGCTACCACATCTGGGCTGAAAATATCTAGAGAACTGCTAGACATGTACTGGTTACGAGAATAATTACAATATAGATACATTAGCCTTATATTAAAACCATTAACAGTCCCACCATGCAGCAACATCAAAAACCCACTTCAGTCAAAGTATCTCCATTGAGTATTGCAGATAAACGTGGCCTACTTTTGCATACCTTTTCATTCTCTGCCACCCTCCACTTTCAGTACCAAAAATATAAACACAGGTAGACCTCGACTTACGACCACAATTGAGCCCAACATTTCTGCTAAGTAAATTTTGCCCCATTTACACTCTTTCTTAAAAGTTAAGTGAATCACTGTAGTTCAGACATGTCAAACTGACGTATCCGAGTTTTTTCCCCATTACCAGCAATGGGGTGGGCACGGTTTCATTGTGACATGTCCAGCCCGCGGGCCGGCAGTTTGACACCCCTGCTGTAGTTGTTCAGTAAGCAACATGGTTAAATTGAATCTGGCTTCCCCATTGACTTTGTTTGTCAGAAGGTCACAAAAGGAGATCACAGGACTCCCGGGACACAGCAAAGGTCATAAATATGAACCAGTTGCCAAGCATCTGAATTTCGGTCACGTGATCATGCGTGTGCCACAACAATCCTAAGTGTGAAAAATGGTAATAAATCACTTTTTCCAGTGCTATGGTAAGTTATATTGCAAGTCCAGGGCTACCTGTAAAGCGATGTGGCAGTGAGTCTGCGGAATGACCACCTTAGATTAACAAGCCCCGCCCCCAATGCTCTAGCGTCCAATTAGTTTCACGCGGTTAGATACCCTTAGCTTTACTTCTCCAAAGGGAGGGGGGCACACTCTTTTGAGACGCCATGACATCACCGCCTGACAACACAATCCGACATTCGAAGGGAGTCGAACCGTTAAGAAGCAACCGGTTTTCCCCAGGATTTAAAAGCGCCTAGGAGAGCCCGAAGAAAAAGACATGGAAATGAAACATGGAAAGCAGGACGACATCGTCCACTTACCAGCCCGAAAGAAGCTCCCCTTCCTCCATCTCCGCGACTTCTATCGCCTTCGCCTAAGTAAAGTCAAACGAGCCCGCCACAGCACATGCGCACTTACAACAACTTCGCCAATAGTTCCTAGGACAGGCGGGGTTTTGTTTTACCAAGACTGCTTGGGCGCATGCGTATTTTTTCTCACCGGCTCGCTTGCGGACGATAGAGCCAGAACTGTTTGGAGAGAGAATGTAATTCAATTTACTAGCTTCTTCTAACTAGTTTGTTGGGCGCATTTGTGTCACCTGCAGGAGCAGAGTGTAGAAGAGAGAAAACACTAAGACAACTTTGGGGACATCTCAACATGCTTCCCATTATCCAGGGCCAATATAATCCAAAGCGTTGGAGGACTTTGGTTGGACAACTCACCTCTCGACATCTCTGCTTCTTTCATCCCATCTCGTTTCGTTTTGCAGAATGAGAGAAGAAAAATGCTTTTATTTGGAAATCATAGAATTCTAATTAGAAAAACACTTTCTGTCTCTTTCCACGCCAGCCCCGAGAAGAGATAAACTGGCACAGGAAAAACGAAGAAATCCAGGATTTCTGCACTGTTGGATAGAGTAAGTTCTGTCTCTCCGCCTGGAACAATGGAGCAGTTGGGTTTTTTTTTTAAAAAAAAAAAACAGGTTTTATTTTATATGAAAAAGTTATTTTTTGTCATATTAAACATTGTGGTGCAAAAGTAATTCATTCTCGATTGCTGTTACAAGATGGATTATTTTTCTCGTACACACACATCGGAAAGGCTGAAAGCTGGCAGCATAGGTCCACTTTAATTACCTGCCCCCCGCCCCACTTCCGCCTAAGCCTGTTACTTAGCTGTATAGAAACCTTTTTATTTTTCGACATTGCACACAAAAAATATTCCCACTGCTGGCCCGATGCCAAATTCCATTTTTCTCTATATTGATTTCTCTGAGCAACTCTCATAATCATTCCAGCAATTCAGGAAATCTGTTCCTTTGTATGTTTTTATACTGATAACCCAAAAGTGGTCTGTCATACATTATCTCAACAATGAAACTTATTAACCTCTGTATTACAGTATCTCACATTTTCATTTTAAAATGAAAATACTGTTAAGTTACAACTTATTTCAATTGTAGATTTCTAAAATTTGCATTTAATGTGTTGGGTCTTTCTTATCATAAGGATCTTAAAGATCCAGGAAATACAATGTCACATCCAACATTTGATTATTAAAACCGCTGGAGAGGGGGTGGAAACTGACGATCTCTTAATACTACATGGTAAAACAGTATCACTGGAAAAATGGAATCTGCAATGGCAGGTATTCCTTAAAAGCAGGGCTAGACAGGAAAGGAACTTTAAATTCATTTCACAATGTTAAAATAAAATACATTTCATCTTTTTATAACTTATTCAAAAACGGATACTTTAGTTTAATAGTGCTTTATAAAGTAATTTCCCTGAACTCCTACTTAGTAAGTAAATGTCCCCTATTCCTTTGGCAAATGTCAGAATAGCCAGAATATGAAAAAAGAATTTGAGATGACTATAGGAAATTAATACATTATTTGAATCAATCTCAGGAAATGGCCAAAACAAGGATTTTTCTGTTGTTTTCTTTCAATTCAGAAACAGCTTTGTATCGAAGTGCAAATGCCTGTTTGAAAGCTCTTGTGCCAGAGATATTAGAAATTGCTTTTGATGATCAACCATCACCTGAGGACCAGGAAAGCTCTGTAGTTTATCCACTTCAATCAAACAAAAATAGTCCCTACCCCAAATAGTCTTAATCAACTCATCTGAGAACATGCTAATGAATATCCATATAGTTAAGAGGCACAACCAAAACAGAAGTGATCCCGCTGCACATCATTTGTAAGCAAAGAAGTTGAACACAGTAAGTATACTGGTATTACCAACTGCCACGATACCTTTGAACTCAAGGAAGTGGTGAAGTCTAAATGAGTACACAAGCAAATCCAGGGTCCATCACTGAAATAAAATGTTTAGCTTGAACACTGCTCTCCCAGACTTTTCTGCAGCAGTTGATAAGCATATAGTTTCAATTTTTTAAAATGACCATCTGTTTCTTAGTTGAAAGAAATGTTTGTTTACATCAAAAGAAACACAACATATACAAGAAAACTCATAAGTGTTTCAACTGCTTCATGAATCAAGATTCCTCTCAACTTTCAAATCTCAATTGCCATAGCTGTCAACAAACTAGTCACTGGTATGATTGTCAATGCCCCCCTTCTACTCCTTCAAACACAACTGTTAGGCCAGACTTTTTATTTATAGCAGCTATTCCTAACTAAGCAGCCTCCAGAAGGTTCAGATTATATAGTTCCCAACATTTTGAATACCGGATTGAGGAAGACCAGTCTATTTTATCTTAGTGACATTTAGCAATGGATCATGTTAATAAGTACACTCCTCAAAATTGTTTTAAGTGCAAAATATTGATGATGCAATTGCAGGGGGAAACATTTTAAGTTCTGGCCCATCTATTGATTGGTACTGATAGAGCTTTCCCATAGTGCTTAACTCCAAAAAGCAAAATATATGGTTGGATACCAAACAACAAGTAGATTTGAATCAGATCTTTAACAGATGAACAGTATGCATTCATGTGTGGAAGCAGTAACCATGGCAAGAAATTTCATCAACTTTAGCTATATTAATTCTCAAGAGCCTCAGCTAACATGACTATGGGAAGCCGGTAGTTACCTATTACAAAGAACTGGAGGACCAAAGGATTCCCAATTATATAGATGGGATATCTTTGAATAGGCATACAAAAGACTGCAGTGTGAACCAATCTCTTATTTTTACCCCAGTCTACTGGTAAATACTGTCTGTCGAATATGAAGGAAAACTTAGAAAAAGGCAGAAAGGAAAAAAAGACTTTGGAAGTTTATTCTTTGATAAATTTAAACTGAAAGTGATGACTTTGCTACTAACATTTTCCTAGATGTACAAAAATCTATTCACAGGCAAGTCTGTGTATACTCTAAGACATTAAATTAGAGCTACATGTGAGTGACATAGAAGATGAAGTTTCTATTCAAAGAGCAAAGTCCAATAATCATTTTGGTAAAGCAATAGCCTGTTCTGGTTAATGAGTTCAAAGATAGAGTCTTCCTCTAGAAAATTACAATACAGATAACGCATACAATTACAATACAAGAGGGGCTAATTGTTAGTAACTAGCATCTAAAACAGAATTTTTATAGTAAAAACACATAGAAATTAAAATCAGTTGCATTTTTTAAAACTGGAAAAATGGAGTCGCTTCTTAAGCATAAAAGTGGTAATTCATTTAAAAAAAAAACAATTCGTTTTGGTAAATGAAGCCAGTTCCTTTAGAACCCAAAGGGCAGAAGTAAGTAGAACTCAAGCACATCATGCCGAGAGGTAGAGAGGTGTCCATATATAATCACAATCTTCCATTGGTTTTCTTTTTTATTTTTATTTTGTCTGAGGTAATTAGCTGTGTGTGTGTCAAGTTGTAGAATCAAAAGTATTGGCAAAAAAAGAGCAACATTGACAAGATACACTAATGACCTCTTTCCTCTCCTCAACAGGTCCTAAAACATTTAATTAGATGCATCTGAATTAATGCTTCCTGGATCTCCAGTAGGTGAAGTGATTGATGAAGGGGTAGTAGCGTCCTGCCAGCTGCCATTTGCCTGAGGAGGGAATAAAGGCATTTTGTTGTTAAGTCCACAAGATGCTACTACTTGCCTCTTAAATCACTCTGATTACAATTTCCCAAATCACAATAGGAGAGCATTATGCCATGTGCAAGACACCGACTTTGTTCCATTACGATTAGCCTCATAGCAAACATCTTCGCACATAATTCACTTTCTGGGGCACAGAAGGTAACATATTGAGTGAATGCTGCTTTTGCTGCTTTTGTTTCATGGCTTCTCTTTCTCCCAAACGGGACTCCTTTCCTCTTGCCCAATTTCTCCACCTAATTTGTCTAAATAGTTAAAGCTTTACTCCCTGTTGATTCTCAAACAATTCAAAGAATTCAGAGTACAGGATGGAAGAACACACTCCCACATATTTTTCTGTTCCCAAATGCAGACTTGGGGATAGGAACCAATCCAAGGCCAGTGTGGATTTCACTGGAGGCTAGTTGCTGCACATGCTTTTGCTGTCTCTTTCACTCTCTCCTGCAGTCTCTTCTTTCAACTGGGAGCACTCTCCTCCAATGGGAGGGGATAGAAAGATGCTTCCTTCTAATTCACTGGGCCAATATGGATGAGTAGGTGAGCCAGCTTCTTTTTCTGATCATCCCTAACCATTCATGGTTCTTCGCAGTACCGTGAATGATACAGAGACAGATTTTCTTACAATTTAAGCATGAGAGATTTTTAAAAATTCCCTGAATAATAAAAACTGGCAACAAGATGCCTATTTCCCCCACTCTTTGAAGCAGCAGTCTTATGGCAAGGTGCTAGCAACACCACAGTTAATGCCGCAGTAGAGTTCTATTATAATTGCATCTGCAGATGTGGTTACATTAACAAACACTGCCATGTCAGGCTTCCGCAGCTCAAGACATTCAGTTTCAAAATCAGAAGCTCCTTACATCAATGCGCTGTGTCGAATATAGGGGGTTTCCCACAATGCTGTCATATCTTCCTGCCTGGTGTATGACATGGTGTAAGGAATCCATCTGTAACAGTATGACCAATTTGTCAAGCAAACAAAAAAAGTGCCAAAAGAGTTATGTAAATGCTATATTTACTGCCCCAAACCCCATTAACTTCCTTTCTGTGATGTTTTAGTGTTTTGGTGTCCAGCTGGGCTGCACATTTATTCTCAATTTATAACTACTTATATTGCTTTTCTGCATGTTACCAAAAGGAGATTGCTATTAGCATGATACGGTGGTTGTCGTTTTTTTTTTTTTTTTTTTTTTTTTTAAAATGAGTTTCTCTGGGCCCACAGATTTTGGGAAAAGAAAATTTAAAAAAGAAAAAATACCCACCAAGATCCCATTCTCTTCCCCTGGAGCATATAGCAACATTTATTCTGCATAACTATACATGAATATTACCTTTTCCTCTGAAATCCAGGAGAGAATATTAACAACATTACAGCAATGGACATTTGGGCCACATTCAGGTAGTCCTTGACTTATGACCATTCATGACCATTTTTCTAAGAACTGAAGTTACAACGTCACTGAAAAAAGTAACTTATGATTGGTTCTTGCCTTTAGGCCCACTGCACCATCCCTGCAGTCACACAATCAGAATTTGGGTGCTGGAAGTTCTGGTTCCAATTGCGATCATAGATCAAAGACCATCTATGTCAGACATGTCAAACTCGCAACATCACGTGACATCGCGCAACGTATTGGGACTATTTTGCCATTGCAGGCAATGGGTTGGGTGCGGCTTCCGCGTGATGTGTCTGACCCGTGGGCCAGCAGTTTGACACCCCTGATCTATATATTAATCCTTATAAAGGTTCAGATCAGGCAGAGAACCAAATTTATTTAGCCCCAAATTCAAATGGCGGGCCAGTTTGTAGTCCAGTACAGAAAAAAAAAATCAAGTCCTTCCTTGTCCAAAGAAGCATTTGAAGATTTAGATCAGGTCAGAGGCATAGGAGGCATTTAATTATGGGATACCCTGTCTTTTTGTAGCTGTACATTCAGGTAATCCTTAACTTACAGCCACAATTGGGACCAGAAATCCAATCGTAAGTCATTATAATCATAAGTCAAGGCTCCTATATGACTAGAAGTGCTTTTCTGATATTTCTCACTACTGTCATTAAGCAAATGCAGTAGATATTAAGCAAATTCATTCATTCAAAGGCTTTTTTTTTGCCAGAAACTGGCAAAAATTTCACAAATGGCAGTTGTGCGATTCCAAAATGTCACAACCAGTTGTAAACCCGTGACCGGTTGCCAAGTGCCCTACATGCCAATATATGAACAGGAGAGGACCATTTACAATGGCCAGGCGTGCTCTACAGGCACTTATTCTGTGGCTGTTATAAATGGGAATAGTGAAAATGACTGGTAATAATTCAAGGACTATCTTTAGATATTTTACTGTAATGTCTTCAGGAAATCTTAAAATCTGTTTATCTTACAATGGGCACCTGGATTGAAGTATTTGTAGGGATTAAAATATTTATGGCTGCAGAGGATTGTTAACCTGACATAGTTCCACCTACCTGAGATTGCACATTGGCTCCCACTGGTGAATTCTGGTAAGAACTGAGTGACTGCAGGTTTATAAAGGAATCTCCAGAATTTGTCATTTTAAATGACCCAGAGGAACCTAGAGGAAAAAATAAGTTACCTAAAGTTATATGTGCAACCGTTCATTTTCATGCGCTCTGTCATAAATGATAGCCCATGCAGCTGTTGTGCTTGAAATCTGATTCCACAATCTATCACTTTCTATAGTGCAAAGTACTCAAATTCTAGGGATTAGTGAACAGATCTCGACCAAATACAGTTCAGGTTATTTTATGAATCCAATTCAAGTTCTTCTCGCTTTTCATTCCACCAATACGCCATCTCATTTACCAATTGAGTTGCAATCCAATAACTAGGTAGAAATGATCTAGGTAGTAAAAAAAATAAAATATTCCATGGCGCCCTTTTGAGTTTGATGCACCATCTCATTCAGAAACGATGACATTAAATTATTACCTCAGATATACCATTGCAATCCTTAGCGTTGGATGAGAGGGATGTGATTTTTTTAGGTGAGGCTTTTAGGAAGACTATGAGAGTCAATTAAGTCACAATAAATCTACACAGTTTAAAATACGCATCTTTTTTTTTAAACAACAGAAATACTACAGCATACAAGTCTGACAAGTTTTCTCAAAGCATAAAAATCAATGATCTATATTATGCAATAGCAGATACCCAAGTAATAACGTATTACTACTGATAACAAGATATTACTAATAATGTGTAATATGTATAATTGATGAAAGGACTGGTGCACATTCCTAAGGCCTGATTGGGCTCGAGGGAGGGAGAGTGTTATAGAACTTTGCCCAGCCAGGTTTCAGGTGTGGCAATCAGGTCATTTCTCAGGGTAGGAAATAGGGCTGTGGCAATTGTCATCCAGGCTTGTTATGTTAATTTTTATAATAGTAAAATCTAATATAAATAAAAACAAAAAGCAAATACGAGTAAATAGAGACGAAAAATTAAGAATAAAGAGAAAAGATATACAGAAATGGTTTCCAACTTTCATTATAACAAGTATACAAATTTAGTAAATTTTACCCTCTCTAAAGGTACAAACATTTGTCTCTTTATTGTAAATTCTATCTATCTATAAACAAATCTGTGTAACATCATCCTTTCAGTCCAGCAGAAAGTCCATAAACGGCAGCCAGAAGTAACAAAATATCTGGTTTCTTTAACCTTGATCAAATAAGCCAACTTTGTATTCCTTTTATTTCTAGCAATTTTAATATTTAGTTCATTCAAATATTGTCGTAGGATTTGGTTTCTCTTCATTTTGTCTGTGTCCCATCACATAAGAGTTCTTCAAGTCTTTAATAAGCTTCTTTTGTAAATCCAATAAGAAACAATTATCTACATTATTCAATTGTTTGTCATTTGTATTTCCCTCTTAAAATTTAAATCCTTAACCAGTTTGTTGTAGATCCAGTAAAACATCCTTTTCTAAATCATCCTCTTTGCCTGTCAGTTGTAAAATCTACTTTCGATAGCACTTCTGTCTTGTCAAATAAAATTTGTTCTATATGTCATTTCTTCAATAACATCTTTTGGACATCATTTATCCACAGAGCTAGACATCAATCATTACTGACGTTGTTGATATTTTCAGTACTATTTTCTGATTCCATTCTTCAAAATTCTCTGTTGCTTTTTATATTGTCATAACTTGCATTATCCTACAGCCTGTATATCTTTCCTCTACTTAAAATATTTAATCCCCTCTAAGGCAGAGGTTCTCAACCTTTGGGGCCCCGGGGACCAGTTCCGTGAAAGGTTTTTTCACGGACCAGAGTGTGCATGGTTTTGTGTGCTGCCTGTATCCCACAGATGGGGCTATGCTTGTTTGTGCAGATGCTGTAGCCCAGTACCGGTCCACGGACTGGGGGTTGGAGACCCCTGCTCTAGGGTTTGGTTTTTGAAATCATGAAATTGTTTGTTAAAACCAAAACCAAAACAGCATCTATTTTCCAAAGAAGTTGTTTGTATTTTACATTTAATTCCAAAATCTTATTGTAAAAGTTTAAGTATTCCAATTCTATCTGGACCCTTAGTACATGCATAACTTTCTAAGAACAAAATCTTATTTA